ATTCGTGAGGAGTTTGTTGTTCAAGAGCTTTTTAAAAAACGTGTTAATATTGCTGTAAAGTAAAATAAAATGGTGAGATTGAACTTGAAATTTTCATAAAAGACTGAGTTTTCTTGAAGGGATTGAATATTAAAAGTTCACTTATTTGTTATACAAGGTTCCAATAATTTTTAGCCATTGGAGGTAAGATTCAAATAAATGAAAGTGTCACAATATTCATAAAATTTTATGTTGAACTTTGTGTTCAAACAATGACACATTCTCAATCATCAGATTTCAAATCTAATGGTTAATAATGATTGTAACCTCCCAGTATAAAACATGAAAGATCTCATTATATACATTGCCTTTTTTAAAAAACAATGACCTATATAGTACATAAATTTCCCCCTTGTTTTTTCTGTTTGTTACCGACAATTCTATGTTGACAAAGCCATCACAGATATAATGCTGGTAGAGGGTGCAATTGTCCTTCATAGTAATCCTTTGAATCCATACAAAGTGGACATTCAATATCCCAAAAGGAAAAGAAAAAGAGCCCAATAAAATGAAAAGAAAACGTGTTTTCCTGTTGTGTAGTGGAAAAAAGAAAAGGAAAAGAAAGAAAACAAGTCTTTTAAATATGGGCGTGGTTTCTATAAGATTCCAACCTTAAACTATCCAATTAAGGCGCACCTCCAAATTTTATCATGATATGTAATTTTGTTGTAAAATATTTTTAGGATTATCTTAAATTTATTTTCATATCTAATTAAAAAATTTCAAACTCTAAAAATGGTTAAAAACAAGTAGATCTATAAAAATATGAAAATCTTGAAAATGGACGATCTAGATAATGTGTTGCAAGACGCATTATTTCTGAATCTCAAAAACGTTTTTTTTTTCCATACATCTCAATGTTGAAATGATCAATTAGAGGGTTTTTCAACATTAAAACAACCCTTCCAATAGATTTTTGAGGTGCATATGTAATTCTACATTTTTAAGGTTGCAACCTTATATAAACTTTTTCTTTAAATATTGATACGGGCAACTTTGTTTTATGTAGATGGTGACTTCGTAAAAAAAAATGAGAAAAGAAAAAATTGCACAAGAGTAAATCACAAACACAAGGCATCACAACCACTGAAGAAGACAGATAAATCTAATGAAACATGCAATACATAAAAAAAAAGAAAGTCGTTATACATTGATATATTTCCTGAGGGTATTAAGCTAAACCTACTTGAAACTGGAGACTATATCAAACGCTTGTGCTTGCTATGGTTAGAAGTGATCACTGGTATCTTCCATTAAGATAGTGATAAACTGTATTAGCAAAGGCTACATTGGCAAATTTAATTTATTATAAATATTTTTATTAAATAAAATAGTATTAAATGGACACAAATTTAAGCTTGCCATTGCCACCATCATGGACATATCCAAATAATCTTCGTCATCAGCAAACTCAAAGTTCTGAAAATGCAACCCAAGGAACTAAATATCAGCACCTTAACAAAAAAAATTGCGAACAAATAAGAACAAGAAGTCCAATAAAAATATGAAGATGATAATAAATATAAGTTGGCATGCAACCAAAAGCAAAACACGATGAAATAAAGGAGATGGATCATGTCTAAATTTTTTGATGACAGAGAACTGCATTCAAGTAGGACTAACCCAACTCTAAAAATCTGGCCATTCATCTATATGCATCAGACTGCCCCTTAGCTTCAATTTAAATCTTGTTTGCTTCCTAGTCACTGGTTCTTGGATGCCTGAAAGAATGGTCCATCCTTCAATTCTTACTGCTTTATGAAAAAGATGGATTTATACCATACATTACTACAAAAAAAGGACGGATTCATGTCTTTTTATCCAGATGGTGAGGAAAGCACCTTTCTGTGGACCTAAAGAAGGAATTTTACACATCTCTGTCACCTAGCTCTAGCATTGAAGGCTGCTAGAACTCAGTTTGTTGAGTACGAAAGACCAAATATATTTTGAAACAGTCTCCATGCACTTAGTTTGCAGAGATTTGACAAGGCAGATGAATGTAATCGATTTCTCACCAGTCCTCCATGAGTTCACTCTAATGGTAAAAACAAATGATTGAAGTACTGGTCCTTACATTGTCAAATTAAGCATACTGTTGTTACTAGAGAAAATGATGAGGTAATCTTGAGCATGGATACTTGCATAAGAGAGAATTTGGAATAATTGATCAATTAGGTAAAGCTAAATTACTTTATTGGCATTGAAGCTGAATTACCTGATCATGAAACTTCTCTCCCAAAGTGAATATTTGTTATTAAGATCAATCTCTCTCAAAGCAAATATACTTCGCATATAACCAAAATTGGATTGTTTAGAAGCAATCCATGTGACTACCTATTGAACAGCATCAAGGTTTGAGTAGTGACTCCAATAGCAATTTAGAGGACACCACAATATACAAGAAACATTTGGGCATTATGTTAAAAATGTCAGCCGCCCAGGCGCCTGGCCGGCCGCCCAGGATATTAGAAGTTCCTAATATCATATGACCTAAGTTTCAGGATACTAAAAGCTAACAAAATTTAAGAACTTTTCTGGACTTATTTAGGTTGCAATTTTGACATACATATGCAACTAAAAGTCAAGAACACAATAATCAAAAGTCTCAGTATAGAGTAAAAAATAAGAACAATCATAATTGATGCTAGGGAATTTGTCAAGCTGTCCTTTTGGAAATTATATTCAACCCAGTGGAGGCTATGTTCAATGAAACCTGATGTATATTCACATTGCAGCAAATTAAATTTTCCATGAGAGCACAAAGAATCTTTAAGTTGTAATACGTAGATGATCTCCCAATTGGGTGCACTTTTATACTTCAGGTTTAAAGATAGTTTCATTTATATTCGTGTAGCCTCATGTACATATTTTGGTATTGTTCTATGAGAAGCTATTAGAATTTATACAGTTCTCATAGCATAGCCCTTTGTCATGTTACAAACACAACAATCAGTAAACATGAAGCCTAGTTCTTGCTCCATATTTTCCTACCATAATTTTCATACCACCAGTTGGCTAGAGAAACTACTAATAAGATATTACTGACCCGATTCTGAACAGACTTATTTATTTTGACCACAAATCCCAAGCCAAGAAAGTGGCACCCCATTTACTGGAGATACTGAGGCTAACATCAAATCCACAATAATATGAACAAAAAAACTCCTGGCTACATTAATTGAATCAACCGGGCTAGCTGCAAAGACTAGACAATGGTTTCCAAAGACTTGCTAGCAAGGTTTTTTTTTTTTTGCAGAATACATGCACGTGATATCCAAAAGCACCTTAATAGATAACAACTCTCATAATCCTAAGTTTAGCAATATCATAAGGGGCCAAAACACCACCAACACGAAAGGGCCTTCCTTTGTAGTGTATTTGCTATACACATAAAAACTAAGGCAGACTTTGGAGTTGGACATATAAGCATAAGAGGCATAATAACCAGTTAGTGCTATTCTAACCTGATGGCTACAATCGCTCATTCAAAAGAAAACAGAGCACACTCTTAGACAAGCTTTTGCCAAACCCCATATAGAAGAATAAAAAATTTCTATCAATAATGATGAGGTAGTTGGGTACTTATTTTATTTGGACCAATTGGTTTCTCATTTTGGTCCCTTGGCAATAATACCAAATCATTCTGGGGAATCCATCATAAAGTTTCCTGGGGAAGTATATCATGACTGAATGGACTATGAAAAACCATGATTCGTTGGGTCATCCATGGCCACTGAGATGATGGAATCAATGGCGAGCCCCGATTTGTCTCCAACACTGTCCATCATTTCAATGGATGGTGATGACCCATTGGACATGGGCATTTTCATTGACCATTTGAATATCATTGTTTTTCCCAATTCTTTACGAGAGGAGCCAGACATCTATAAACTGCCATTTTCAATTCTAAAGGAACACAGCTAAAAAAGTGAGCAAATTAAACAAATGATAACAATAACAGAACAAATGCAATCACCGATTCAGAATTGAGAGTCTGAGACCTAATTTTGAGTTTATAAATAATGTCTCCGTATACTGCTATCAGAATACAAATTCCATGGAGAACCAAAGCAACAACTGATCGAACAAACAAATCGTGTACATAACCAATGGAAGGAAATAGGGGATGGATATCAGAAGTCATTGATTTTTTTTACAAAATTGTTCATTGCTTAAGTTCAGAGACAAAACTCATAAATAAATAAACCAAAAATGAGAACCTGATGATAATCATCTTCGCCAATTTCTTCTTCTTCCTCTTCATTTTTCTGATTTTCATCATCCTCATCTTCTTTCTTTTCCTTTTCAGACTTCCCTTCTTTCACCTAAGTAGCCAAGAATTTGAAGTGCACTTATCAGAATAAGGAAGAAACATACTAAAAACTGTGAAATTGTTTGAGATATGTGATAACAAATAATGAAGACTTAGTTGGAGTGGTTCAAAGCTAACATCAAATTAAAGGAGTTATATATAGTACAGGAAGTGATATGATGATTTGACAATAAGCCATATGAATTCATTACACAATTCGATATTCAATAAAAAATATACGGATCCTAGTAGTGGCAATCTGAAGTGTGAAAATATCTAAGAGATAGGAGAACCAAGAGTATAGTATTCAATGCGTTGCAAAGACTTCCTGTACTTCTCTATTTGGAAGGTGAAGGATATATAAATACAGAGTTACAGACCATGAGCATCTAGTAGCACTTCATAAAAGAGACCAACATAAACATAAAAAGAAAGAGGGGAGAGAGAAAGAAAGCAAAATCAAAGGGGAGAAAGTTTAGGCCCAACATAGAGGCATTGTTTGTGTATGCCTTCACATGCCACTGAGTCAGCCATATCACTGGTCACCATATGTCTGGTCACCTTAAAAAGCAGACCCATGCGTTGGAGTCTGCCTCACCATGGCCCAGGTAGCATGCCCCGCCTAGGTCCTCCGTCACCCAGGGATGGAAATGGTACTCGGTTTTACGGTACTTGATAATTTTTCCCTCTCTAAGGATGACAAAGGGTTAGAGGTACTCCTTCCAACGTCCCAATGTACCGAGACCTACTTTTTCTAAAAAGAACACTGGATATTTTTGTACTTCAGTCGCCATTTTTATCTCTTTGAACACTTTTCACTTCAGAGTATGAGAATTGTCATATAACTTTATGATTGCTTACTTGTGATAATGTATTGAGAGACTGACATCCCTATAGTTGAGGGAATGTTAATCATGGTTATCCTGCCAGTACCTATGGCTGGTAGTGCTAACAATTTTGGCAATCTTATGGGTATTGTGGCAGGAGAGGAATAATCATAGAAATACCATGGAATTATATGGCTAAATAGTTGAATCAAGGTTTTGATTATTCCGTGGATGAGGATGAAAATTAACTTTGAGGCCATGCAACACTGAATTTCAAAAAGAATTGGAAGGAAATTATACATAGCAATCCTCATACAAGTAAGGGGGTTCTGGAATTGGATAACACCCAAGGAAGGAATGGTAAAACTTTACTTGGATGAAAGTTCAAAGGGGAATCTGGGGCTTTCCGACGCAGGAGGGGTAATCCGAAATCACTTTGGAAGGATTCCAATGTGACGAAAGCTTGGGCAGATTCTCATTCTAGATGGGATTCAAATGACGTGGAAGCTTGGGTGTCGTTGATAGAGGTAAGGAATCTTGAACCAAAATGGAAGTAAATACAAACTGCAGGATATTTTTATTATGTGACCTCATGGATTAAAGGAAAACGTCAATTCCCTGCAGTGATTAGAAACTATTGGGAGAAATACTTCACCTTACTGGCAACATAACACTGTCAAAGTCCACCTAGGAAGGGAAGTTAACAAACCGGCTTGCAGTAAAGGGATCTCGAGAACCACTCCTCTAGTAGCATTGGACCTGAATATGCCGGTCCTTTGAGGATTCTTCAAGCTATAGCAGATGGGACCAAATTACTTTTAGTCAAGACATAATGAGATCATGGAATCTAGGAGCCAAATTTTGTGTACAGGAAACAAACTTGTACACTTTGATTACATTAATGATTTAAGTCAATTTTCAAGAAAAAAAGAAAAAAGGACACTTGGGAATCAATATTTGGCATTTCCAATGTGGCATTCAAATGACTTATGGAGTGCCAAGAATGATCATCATTGATTATTTGTATTATCATTTAATGAGTCACAGATTTGCACAATCACACATTGGATGGATAATCAGCATTCCTTCCAGCGTGGTATGAGCATTGAATTTGGGCATGTTGTAAGCCATCATATTGTGGAAATACCACAATTTCTGGGGTCATAAAGGGGCATAAGTCTTCTAAATAGGTTTGGCGCTGCTTATTAAAGCATCCAACAGCCTGCAGAGTGGAAACGACAAACCCCAGATGATCTTTAATCGTACCTACCACCCCCTAGGGTCAAGAAGCCATTAGTGTAGGCAATTGTGTATTTTGTCAACTCCGCACTCCTTCGAATGTACAAGAAGTATTTAATAAAAAAAAATGTAGAGCAAAATTAATGGATTAAAATCCCAAAAGAAACAGAAGTCAAAAAATGAAAAAAAAGGAAAAAAGGAAAAATTATGCAAAAGACACTTTAATTGGGGGAGGAGAAATAAAAAAACAAAACCGAATATTTAACAAAATCAGGCATGATACCCTTTGGGGCTTTGTTTGAATCAATATTTAATAAATAAATACATCTGAGAGAACATAGGGACGGCTCCAATAAGCGATAAGATGAGGAAAAATAGACTCAGGTGGGTTGGCCATTTGTCACTTCAACCTCAAACAATACTGGTTAGGAGGGGCAATTTAGTTCAAGTAGAAAAGCTCTACAAGGCAAGGAGAAGGGCCCCATGTATGAAAGTAGTGAGAAAAGATATAGTGACTTATGATCTGACTAAGGATATGGCCCTTGAAAGAGCATAATGGTGGAACAAGATTAATGTAGCCCACCCCATATAGTTAGGATAAGGCTCGGATGATGGTAATGATAGTGATTGAAACAACATGGTTTGATAAAAGTAAGGATTATATGAATTAGTGCAATATCACCAAGTTCAAACTGAAAGATGCTAAGGGGGCAGCTCCAGTGACTTTTTGGGTGAATTTGCAGATTCAGAAAGAAAAATAGCTAACTTCCAAAAAGATACATCATGTTGAAGAGAAAATTCAAGGAAGAGCTGATTAGCAAATAAGGTTCACCTTTTCAAGTTCCAGCTTCCAAATATCAACTGAAAAACAAAACATACATCAACAAACACAAATTTCATCTATGAAAAGAAGAAGATGTAAGGATTCAGGCTTGGGTTTGATTGGTTAAGGTATTGACGATTAAAATACTACATCTCAATTTCAAATCCTATTGCTAAAGTTTAAGAAAAAAAAGAGGTACGCAACGACATATGGATGTTGGACATGCAGAGGCAAAGGTAAAAAAATAAAATGTGTGAAGTTATCAAAGCAAATGTTGGGAACACCTGCGTAAATCATGCAGGTGTGTAAGAACTTGGAAATCTCAAAATGGTAGATGAATCTGGCAATTTTTGTTGTTTTGGATAATTCTATGGGGAAAGGGTCCCCTGCTTGTTGTAAGAATGGAACCCAAGACATTATGTTGTGGCACCCACGACCCTGGCCACCTATGCCTTGAGCCCATTCCAATTTGGCAATTCATTTTGGCCTTGATCATTTCACTAAAATTATCAACAGTTGTCTGATGGAAGTGGGGGTAAAAAACAAACTTCGAAGAAATGATCACAACAAACATTTTATCATAGAGTAGACACTATTTTGAGATTCCAAACATCTGGAGCACATGCATGACTTGGGTCGGTAGTCCAGGCAAAACAGTGTTTATTCATTTGTTTTTTTTATTGTTAGTCATTCAAGTTTCAAGAATAGATAGAGAGGTAGACTGAATCCAAACATCTCAAAGAAAGAGGTACCTACCACCAATTAAGACGAATGTGAAAAAAAAAAAAACAAAAGAAAAAACATAGGCAAGAGTGAAGAGAAAGTCACCATTTTTAGCTGAGTCTGGCTGCAATGTAGATTCTGAAATCTCCTTGTACAGTTTTTCATGTTTTAAGCCTGTCAATTAGCACTCATGATTATCTGAGCAATCTTCCATATCATTTAAAATTCCTTTAATGGAAAGTATGCCATATTGCAATGAACTATGAAAAACCATAGTCCATTAAGGCCACCAACATCCAATGAAATGATGGAGCTTAAGGAGAGAGTGGGCCACACACCAAAACAGGATATAACATCAATGGTGGCTCTCACTTTCGATCATTGTCCATCATCTCATCAAATTTATGAAGTATGAACCCAACAGAACATGTTTTTCATAGTATATTGGACTATAGTATATTTTCCTAAGAAAGAACGAAGACGTTTTGGACCAGCCGCATGATGCCTTGGTCTTAGGCTTCAACTTATCAGCATATCGCTCTATCTCTTTGCTTGTGTCATCTGTTAACATGTAACACCAATTAAATGGGAAAACATAAATCTAGAGAGAGAGTAAAAAACAGCAGTCTTGAGAAAAAGTAAGAAAAGCAGTCTAGAGAGATTAACTTTATTTCCCACTCATGATGCAGGCACACAGTATTTTTATTTTCGGTTGGTGCTGCGGGGGAGGGGGGGGGGGGCGGGGGGAGGGAGAAGATTATGGCATACAGTACAGCCTCACTTGTCTACATTAGATCTGATGCATCTGGGTAAAGAAAGAGTGTGTATCACAGGTTAATGAGTCTTCCATTCACATCCTTAGAACAGGATGTGTGCATTCCATGCAAAATAATTCCATTTCTTCAATCATGTTGCAAGACTTGCATCTTCAAACCTTTTCTTAGTTAGCAATACCACCAACAGTCCCAGTTATTGATCATCTACTTATGTGCACTCCCTCCAACAATGCCTTTCGGTACCTAATGGGGAGAATGATTGGGGAGAACCAAATGTCAAAATGACTGTACTAGTTGCGTGACTGTGACTCAATTCGGTTACGAAGCTTTGGCGCTCACACCTTGAAATTTCCACCTAATTGAAGTCCTATGTGAAGCACCTTTCGGTTGCCTTGCCTCAAGGTGGAACCTAAGTGCTCAACTAGGCTGCTTTTCATTACCATACAAAGGTTCCTCTTCAAGTAGCAAATGGAATAAATGTCCATTCACAAGGATGGCTTATGTTTAATGACCTGCATGGAGTGCATTTAATGCTATAGTTAGTGGTCAAATTGGGAGGAAAAGGAGATGTTCTGTTGACTTAGAGATCAAATACTTTTAGATCTACAAAACATTGGACCCTCTAGATCATCATCATCATCATCAGAGCCTTTTCCCAACTTGTTTATTGGGATTGGCCACAGGAATCCTGGTCTGCCATTCTGCTCTATAAAGGGTCATACCCTCAGTAAAGCCATAACTTCTCATATCTTTTCTTACTACTTCCAACCATATCATTTTAGGCCTACCTCTTGCTTTCTTTGAGCCTTCCACTCGAACCAACGCGCACCTCCTAACAGGTTTTGTATTGGGTCTGCACTGCACTAGGCCAGCCCACTTAAATTTACTTTCTCTCATCTTATCACCTATTGGAGCCACACTTAAGTTCTCCCGAATGAATACATGTCGAATTTTATCCCTTCTTGTCTTACCACTCATCCATTTCAATATCATCATGTCCGCTACACTCATCATATGGGTGTGATGTTTCTTGATTGCCCAACATTCCGCCCCATAAAGCAAAGCTCGTCTCACAGATATCCTATACAACTTTCCCTTTAGCTTCATTGGTATGTGGTGATCACATAAAACTCCAGTTGCACATCTCCACCTTGCCTTCCCAGCTCTAATTCAATGTGCGACCTCTCCTTGATCTCTCCATTTTTCTGGCCAAGACATCAAAAATGCACTCTTTTTGATATTTCTAGGTCGTCAATCTTAACTACTACCTCATCTCTACTCCTATTATTACTAGACTCGCATTCTATATATTTTGTCTTAGTCCGGCTAGTTTTAATACCTTTGGATTCTAGAGCATCCCTCCAAAGTTCTTTGTGTTGACGCCGCCTCATGTCTCATCGATCAAAACTATGTCCCCAGCGGACAACATATACTACGATAGCTCATCTTGCAGGTGCCTAGTTAAGTTGAAAATTGGTCTTGAGGGTCATCACCAGCCAATGAATGGGTTAGAGGGGGAAAGGATAGTCGGTTCCACATGACTTGGATGGTACATCCCTTTTTCTTTCTCCAACAACGATCGTGCTCGTTGACTTGACCAACACTGAAGAATGCACTTATTGTATCTACGAAGCAATTCTCATGGAGCGTCATGTAGAACGGTCATCTCTCGCCTTAAATTCAAGTAATTCCATTAAACTATCAGAATTCTTATTTTCGTCCTTAGTGTGAGCAACTATTAGCATAATCTTTGTCAATGGTCTTGTTGAAATTTCTCCATCAATAATTCCCAATGGTTAATCAGATTGTTGTCTCCAAATCTATCCATTTGTTCCTAGTTTCCAAGAATTATCTGTGACACTTACTGTTGCTGCTAGATGGAGGCAGAGCAGTCAATGAAGATGCAGGTATAAACAGATTGAACAAACTTGTCTCTTAAGTCATGAGAGCAGGCATACTGGTGTGGTTCATAAGGGTGGAATTTGTAATAGAACAAAAAAACCATACTTCCTTATAAAAGAAAAAAGACCATAATTGACAAAATTTCTCAAAATATAACTTCACAGCCCTTAATTAGTTTATGTCCCATAATCTATAGCTAATTGTAGGCTTTTTTATAAAGTAAAATTATAATCCATTCACTAAAAGAAAAGTTCTATAAAAGACGAGCAATGACCAAAATACAAGCCACAAAGGCTCTCTTTCAACCTCTGAATTTGTCAACATAACAACCAAAGAATTCACTTCTTTATGGACGTCACAAACTTCCTAATAAAACAATGACTCACATCATAAATTCATTAGTCACCTGGTGCTTCTGCTGGTTCAAAAACCTAATGTGTTTGCATACGAGCTGAATAAAATGATAAATGCTCAACAATAAGGCTGAGTTTAGGTTTTATACTTGTGCAACTTTATTACAGCAATCATAATGATTTCAAGGTATCTCCAACTCACAGTTCATTATATGTCTCCAATACCCATTTTATCCAAGATTAAACATCAGCATACTGCAGCACTAGTTACCATCCACCCTATAAAAACAATTATTATAGACCAGCAGAAGCATAAATGGGACTCACAAACCATTCATATGACTTAGATATTTTTTTTCAGACTTCATATGATTCAAATCTTTTCTATTATATCAAAACAACTCTAAAAGTTTATCAGAATTTCAATGGAATAAATCAACTCAATTACTTAGGAGATTATTTTGCCAATTTTAAGAGCTCTTTTTTTTTTTGATCGGTAATTTCAAGAGCTCTTCTAACAATTTAAAGAAGTGCTTAAGAGCTCCTTTTTTTTGTTTTTTTGATCGGTAATTTCAAGAGCTCTTCTAACAATTAAAAGAAGTGCTTAACACGAATTGAGTTCAAATGCATTAACAAAAGGAACTAATTCTAGCAAAATAGCAAACATAAATATAAACAATCATTACAAGTGATAAAAGTTCCAGGATCACCTTCTATAACTAACAGGATGAACATCAATCAAAATTAAGAATGTGCATGATTTTCAAATTTCTCTATCAACTACAGCATAACTCTCATGTAAATCTTTCCACAGCCTAAGTATTTAAAATAAAAAATATAGAAACTGATCTACCCAATTTCCTTGACAAACCCAAAATCAATAAATCCATAGAATGAACTAACTTACATCTACTTCTTCAAGTTAAAATCAATAAAACCATAGAATGAACGTTAGTTCATCTACTACTTCAAAAAAAAGCTTACATGATTTTGGTGCGCTACTTTCAATGAAGTATGAAGAGGAAATATGAAATGATTGTAGCACCCTTTTCCTAAAGATAACGTCCACCTCTTCCTCGGTCTTTTCTCTTTTTTATTTGGCAACTCTTGCACATTCTGCCGTTTCCTTAGTCACCTGCCATTCTCTATCAGCAATTTTGAAAAATTAGAGAGCAAATTACGTACAGACACTATTTGGAGGTCCTCATTACCATATGGTGATACTGTTCCCATATATTATGAGCATCCAACCCCCCCTCCCCCGGCGGCCTTTTTTTCCTAAGTTGCCCTCTTGTCCAGCAATGAAAACACCAGACAGGAGGGCCTATTTTAATTTCAAATGCAAAGAGTTGTCCGGCGTTTGTATCACCGGACAACTAGCTTCTTTGTTGTTTGGTGTTTGTATTACCGTACACCTCTCTGGAATCCCCCAAAACCCAGTCCACCCTTTCTTCCCATCATTTCTCTTCTCTCTCACGCTCTCTCTTTCCTCTCTCTCTCTACAACCCAAAGCCCTCTCTCTCTGTGGAGCTGAAGCCACAATCGCAGACATTTGCTATCTGGCACTTGTTTTATTGGCCAGCCTTTTGGAAATATTTGATGTGGTTCCAAAATGTTGTCCGGTAAAGCAAGTGCCCGACACTTGCTTTAACGGATAACATTCTTGAATAATTTGCTGCGGTTCCAAAATGTTGTCCGGTAAAGCAAGTGTACAATAAAAGAATTAAACATTGTTTGCCACTTGCTTTACTGGAAAACATTCTGGAATAAATTGCTGCATTTCCAAAATGTTGTCCGGTAAACCAAAAGCTGGACAACATTAGTTTTTGTATTGTTGTCCAACACTTAGTTTACCGGACAACATTTTGGACTGACAGTTTTCTAAAATTGCCTGAATCCAATCATTATATCAATCCATAAACACTTGGAGGAATAAAAAATATACACTTGTGATATGTCATCCATGTACCCAAGAACCCAACATTAAAATACATTCTAATGAAATGCCAAAATATATCATCAAAGTATTCAAGTACATAAGTTTTGATCTCAAACCAAGCAACACCATCCAAATACAAATGTATTTTTCTAGACCACATACACCAATTTACATAGCCAAAAAATTGAGACATAAGACATTCAAGCAAATACCTAGTGAACCAAGCCCACTAGGACAGTGAAGGCCGGACGTATGATCCATAAGCACTTGCCCCGTCAGATGTCAGAGGAAGTGGACCATTGATTGGTTCTCTACAACTCCTCCTGTTGTGGCCTACGTCACTACAACGTGTACAAGCATAACCCTTGGTGTTTGTGGCTTCTATCCGCCTACACTTCTTAATCGGCCTGCCTGGGTCGCTTGGTATTTGGGGGATATACAGTTCTATTCAATTCTCCAGTTAGAGGCATTGAGTCTGGTACAGGACAGAATTCAGTTGCATAGGTAGTCCTATAAGCTTGAACAGTGAAATATGGCTCGCAAAAGTCTGTTATTTGGAGGTGACAGTGATCTATAGCTGCACTTGCATGGGTACATGGCAACCCGCTATTCCACCACACTCTACAAGTGCAGCTACGGGCATCTAGATCTACAATGTGCGTCATCTCCTCATGGATCTCATATTTTTTGCCTGCGACCCATACAACAGTATGCAGAAAACTTGACTTCTCAATCTGTTCGGCTATGACTTCTTGTGCTTTAGGCACTAGCACACCAGTCCACATTTCAACTTCCTGTTGATGTGTAGCAAATTTATGCACTAACATTATTCTGATGCCTTCGCACAGTGCAATGAGAGGCTTGTCATGTTCCTCTAAAATCCAATTGTTAAACTGCTCAGATATATTAGATGCAAGATGATCATATCTCTTGCCCTTGAAATAAGCATTCGTCCAGTATTCTTTTCCCTATTCCATTATCCATTGGTAAGCCCCTTCATCTATCTCTTTAATTTTCAACATCTCTTCCTCGAACCCCTTAGTAGATAATGCGCCCGCCGCATTCCAAAACTTCTTTACGAATACTGTGTTCTTCCATTTTCTCCTGAAATTATCTACAAGATGGTGCATGCAATGCGCTGGATATGATCCCGGGAATACACGCTGAATTGCAGTTTGCAAACCCTTCTGACAGTCCGATACAATTGTCAAACGAGGAACCATATCAACCTGCTAATGAAATGCTCCATTTAAATTCTCTAAGAACCATGTCCAACTTTCAGTGTGCTCATTCTCTACCACTGCAATCGAAACAAGAAACGTGTCATGATTAGCATCTACAGCTATTGTGGCCAATAAGATCCCCATATATGTTCCCTTCAAGAACGTCCCATCTAACCCTAACAGTGGCCTACAACCATGTAGAAATCCATTGAGGCATGGACGAAAGCTAAGAAAGAGATGCTTGAATCTCTTCTGCTCATCGGTTTGTATGACTGATATAGTTCCAGGGTTAGTGATATTCAATTTCTCAAGATACAGAGGTAGTTCAGTGAATGATTGCGCTTCTGAGCCTAGGATCATTGCCCTTGCAACTTCTTTGCCACGCCAAGCTTGCATGTATGATAATTGGATCCCATGATCTTGTTGAACGCCATTTGCAATATCTTTAGTTGTGAGTGTCATCTGGTCTTTTAGTCGAGGTTTAATCCTTTTTGCAACCCATTGGCTTCTTGCCAATGGTTGATGCGCCCTGCCCATTGGTCCTATACAAGTGTGCTCATTCATAAATTCTCCCACCCTAAAGTATTTTGACTGTCCGACTCTAGAGCAACGCACGCTCCAAGTGCAATCCAGTGCTCCTTTACAGTATGCACTCACTTTTTCTTGATCATTTCTACGGTACTTCATCACAAAATTATGACATATTGCATAATCAACTAAGTGATTACGTAACTCCACAACAGTCTCAAAATCCTGTCCCACAACTAGGTCCACCCGTGGACGTGTTGATATGAATGGGTCTCTAAGGGCGTCGTGTCATCTACATCACGTTCCGCCACAGGTTCACCCTCGGATTCAGACTCATGCTCTGCAGCTATGTTACTCGTTGTAGGGACATTCACTTGTACAGAAGGGCAGCTGTCAGAACAAATTTCGAGCATTTAGTAAGTATCGATCCACATGTAGTTCAAATATAATTCAAATTCATTTAGGAAGTACTCAGATAGTTGCAATAATATGATGCATAATTGAAGGTCTTTTGTCTCACTCACCTATCTCTTGTTGATGGAGCAGATGTATGATTGAAAGGTTGATGCTCCACTAGATTTGGTTGTGATGTCTGGTTTGCGACACATATATATACATTGGAGGCCACCATCAACATACACATTACATCTCCATCATCTATTAAATCAACTAAATCCATTGGCTTGTCCTCTTCTTGATACATAAATTTCAAACAGCTTGGGTCAAAGCTCAATATAGACCCCATATGAGCCTTTAGTTGTTGTAGTGAGTTGTCCCCATTATATAGCGTGGCTTTTAAGTTGCCCTCTTTGTAATATGCCCGTCTATCATCCTGGTTACTCTCAAAATAACCACCATGACGAACCAATAATCTCACTCCACTAGTGACCATGAATCAATCTGGTGAGGAGTATAACATCAATAAGGTCCACATAATTGGTAGAGATTTCTTTCTTCATGTCAAATATTCATTAAAAAAAATAATGATAAGAAAAATAATTAACATGTTCAATACATGTTCAATACCATGTACAAGCGATTACTTTATGCAATCCATACATTTACAATTAGTCATCAACTCATACAATTATTTTGGTATCCACGTTAATTATCGTAAGAGTGCAAATAAGGAAGCTAGGCTATTTAGTCAAATTTCATGAGTTCATCTCATTCTTAAATTAATACTTCATTATTATCATTGACAACAAGAATAAAAAAAATAAGCCAACTATTAGATTGAAATTTCACATACCAAAAAAATAATAAAACAAACACAAAAAACCCCAATCCGCCATCCTTTCTTGTTCTACTTCAAATCTCAACAAAAAACTTCAAATTTGTTCCAAAATACGACTAATTCATTCCACTAGCAAAGCCCTATCGAAATGTATAAATATTTTATCATTAGAGTGGTTTTCTGATCCAAATATGAGGTTTTTTGAGCCCCAATACCCCAATCCACCATTACTCATATTTTCCCCAAATTAATACGCAACCATTACACATTTGTGAGATTTTCTTGATAACATTACACATGTGAGATTCTCTTGATGATTAGCCCAACCGTTTATAAACTCTCATTTTTTTTCTATATTTTGGGCTGGGGGGGTTGGGTGGTAGTTCAGTTTGGAAAAGGTTCCCTAGCAATGGTAAGAATGGAACTCAAAGGTCACATTCTTGCCCTACCACCCTGACCACCTATGCCTTGCGCCCATTCCCAGAAACATAGGGCTATCTTCCCCATTACTCCCATAAATTTAAGGTTCTCTTCTACCAAAAATCTCAGAATTTATTTCCACCATATTCATCGCATAATGTGTGTAGTCTACAACTATGCTTACCAATAATTATTGGGTAAGGTTTCTATAAGGCGCCCTCTCGATATTGTAGAAGGCACATCTAAATTTTGTTTGGAGATATAGTTCGAGTGTCAGAAACCTTACGATGGCTTGAAAATCTATTTTTATCTATCATTATGAAATTTAAAATTTAAAAAACAAGTACAAATAGAACATAACTATAAATCCCTGAAAATCTTGAAAATAGACAGTCCAGATAATTTGCTACAAGATATTCTATTTTTTGGATTTGATTAACTCCTTTTCATGTCCATACATTTGAAATTAACTCTTTTTCATGTCCATACATCTTGGGGTGGAGATGATCAAATTGAAGGGTTTTTTAACATCAGAACACTCTCTTTTAGAGGATTTTTTACATCGGAACATCTTAGTTCAATTGTATAATGTTGACACCTTGTATAAACTTATACCATAAAAAAAAAGGATTAACCTTCTATATGAAACCAATAAAGTGCAGTCTTTCATTCTACCAAAACAAAAATGCAAACTCTGATGTATTGATTCCATTTTCCAGTTTATTTCCATAAGAACCTGAAAGCTAGAGTTTACTTATGTGATAACTCCAATAATTCTTAGACTCACAATATACACTAAACCCCAAGTACTGTAGTATTTTCCCTATGTCTGAATCCATGCAGAATGTTTGAATGACGCCAAACAAAGATAAACTCACTTGAAATTCAAAATACATTCATTTCCCTCTCTAGCTCATATCCAATGGAACCAAATGAACATATTCCGTAAATAATATCAGTTTGAGCTGTACATCTAGCAATGAAGCAGAAAACTAACAAGAATCGTATGAACATAGCAATTCAGTATAAACCCTAATAAGAAAAAGAAAACCTCAGTAAGAATAGTTTGAAGAGAGAGAGAGAGAAAGTGTGAGAGAGAGAATGAGAAAAAGTGAGAGAGAGAAAGAAAGAGTGAGAGAAAGATTACCTTCTTCATGAGGATTCCAGTCGATTTCTGGTTTTGAGCGAAGCAACAAAGAAGGAAATAATGACATTTTGTATAGCATTTTATAGCGGGAAGCCAAGGGTTTCTCTTTTTTTTAATTTGTCAAGGGTGACCAGAGAAATTTCAGGCTTTTGCATAATTGACTAAAATACCCATAAAAACGTTAAGGTATTTCTTTTTCGCTGTGGGTATTTCTAGCAATTGTAAAGGGTAGGATAAGTCTTATCCAAGTTTATTAGCATTCATCTGATGTTTAGAGAGAGAGTAACGAGCTAGAGCTAGAGAGAGAGAGAGGAGATGAAGAAGAAGCTTTTGTCTTCTGCCCCATGGAGAGACGAGGAAAAATCAGAGAAGTTTGAAGATGCGAAGCTGAAGGTCACGAACCAACCAGGAGAAACGGCCAAGATGTACGTTCCTCGCAAGAGAAGCCTCTCTTCAAAGAACCCCCAGGACAAAGACTCTCTCACCGAAATCGATCCCGAGCTCCGATATAGCTTCCAGAGGAATTTCAATGTATTTCTCTCTCTACCCAACTTCTTAGTTTTCCATTTTCTCTCTCCCTTTACTGGATATCTGCTTATGCAATTGCGTCCAAAGAGGAGTGTGGTGTATTTTGTTCATTATGCAGATCTTCCTTTTCTTTAATTTAACTAAATGGTGTTTCAGTTTCTGAATTTCTGTATTGTGGAGGAGAAATTTATGTTCAACTTTATGCAAGAGCCATTTGCATTTTCCCTTCAATTGACTCTTTTCTATTTTTATATATAGTCATGCTTCCCTCTGTTAGGATTTTATCTGAATGAATCACCTCTGAAGCATAGTTTCTCTATTCTCAAATGTTATACAACTTGCTCTTAGAGAGCATCTAGTGCTTGCTATATTTCGGTTGTTCTGATGGTAAGTTTTGTGATTTCATGGCTTATATTTTTTACTTTTGACCTATTTAAATTGTTGGTTCTCTATTTCTTTTTTTAGTGACAATATCCCCAATTATTGTTGATTGGATTACTGCAAAAATCCCCTGTATTTTTCCTTTCTTTCTTCTGTACAATTCCAAGTGAATTATTAAGAGAGTGACCGCTTACAAAGTGGAAATGCTTGATAAATTCAATGTTCTACTTACATGAATGGGAGTGATGCTAAATGTTGTTGACTTGGATATTGGATAATATATTAGTAAACTATATTAGATTCAATCTAGTATGAATTATAAATTTGGTCCAAGATGAAAAGATTATGAAATCAAATTGTTCGTTTGTTTTCGGAGGGGGTTTGAATACGCTATGATATAGGCTTTAGGGGTTGTAAAGGGAGTGTAACCTTAAGTCCAATATTTAAAGCTCAGACACAGCTGAAACTTGACTCTAGTCAACTCACAGGGTCCCATTTTAACCGGCCAAGTCTTATATTATAAAGCTTTGGTGTTATTAAGAGTAAATACTTTTTTTTGACGAAACTAAGACAGACTCAGGCAAGACTAAGATAAGACTTTGGACTCAGCCAAGTCATGTATTGGGCACCAAGTCACATATTAGAATCGGTGATTCTTTGAAAGGCTTGGTGAAATTTGCCAGAACTGTATAAGAGTGAGTTGAGCAGTTTTAAACTTTAAAAATCAGAATCAACTACAATGGAATTGGCTAGGGCAAGGCCCACTTTTAAAGCACTGCTCTCTCTATAAGGGAGTCTGTAGAGCAAGCCATTATGGCATTGATTTCTGGATAGTTTAATGATTGAATTTACTATGTCTAGCCAGGTAGGCCACATATTTAACAACTTGGGTGGTGTTGGGTTGAGAAGAGTGGAGAAAGGAGGAGATTTTTAAGTTTATGAGGTTATTAAGGAAGTAGATGAATAAGGAATCGGGCTTAAGTCAAGACGGTAGAGACTGGGTTTTCATAGCATACCATCTCAAGTTCCATTCGTATGTTACCTTGTCAAAAAGAGGAAGTGGACGAATATCTTGATAGCTTTCCGAAATCTATGAAGTATCACATTGTTGTTTGAATATCCTTTGTCTTGAGCTACTTGATCTAGTCAATGATCAAGTGCATTTGGATGTCCTGTTTTTGCTATATTTTTGAAATCCCATGAGTCGGGACCTTGTCATGGCTAAGTAGCATTCATAAAAAGGTATATTGGGGCACCCTCATATTGGAAGGGGACTCAGCTAATATAATAACATGCCCATAAGGAGCATCATAAATGAAATTCACGTGCAATGAGCCTATCTCAGTATAAATTATGTGTGTTTGGCATGAATCCAACACGCATGCAGATTCTTTGCCAAGAGTGGATATCTGATTCTTTTCTTTTTGCTTATCTTTGTCTTTTTCTTTTTCTAATCTTTTTCATTTTGTACTCGTTTGTTTTCCCCTTTTCTTCTTTAAATAATATACATTTTTGTACATCTTTACGGAATAAATGGAACAATGCTACAAAATCAAAATCATCATCATCCAAGTCTTATCCCAATCAATTGGGGTCGGCTATGAGAAGATGTGGCAAAGTTCTACACTGGCTGCTTACCTAACGCAACGCACCTCCTTTACCTGGGCTTGGGATGGGTTAAGGGCAAGTTTAAGGTCCTCACTCTTCTTAGATCATGAATGGAAAAGAGAATGAAAGTACGGAATGTCAATTTCCAAATGATTTATTTTAAGAAAACCCATAATTGCAAATTTCATAAGAGAACTCACGAGTTATAAATGGAAAAATTCAATATTTGAAGAAGTTAGATTATGAAGGGAAACGACAAATCTTTGAAAAAGACCCAAACTACTGGCTCAAAAGATGTGAAAAAGATGTGCATACCTTTTTATGCAAAACTGATGATAGATGCCTGACTTTTGGTGTAAGTTGAGCTACAAATCAAAATACATACATAAATAAATAATCCATGAGGTGGTTCATTACAATATTATTATGTCTAGTTGTGTCATTCTGAACTTATGTCCTCATCCAATCCATGTAGATGAAACATGAGTGCATTTGGTTAAATGGAGATGCTTTAAGAATGCAAAGATATTGAGAGTGGTTAAGGCTTGTCTAATAGTGGTAGACTATAATCAGAAAGTCATGTGTGATGGATGCTTCATTAGGTGATTTAATTGTCTTGTCACTTGAATTAAGTGCATAATAACTTCTTTAGTTTCCAAGGCTGGGTGACTTTGTGACGGGAGCGTGGATTGGTTTCCTAAGGAAATTGATAGAGCGCACATGTATTGCTGACTTCTTCAAGTTTCTTCCGGCTCCATTGATGTATCCATAACTTCGTGGCCAACTGCTTCTAACCATCTTAAATTGTATTCCATTACAACCGCCTTAGGTAGATTATATCAAGTTGAATTGACTGCATATAGAGATGATAGAGAAAGTGGTTGCCTGATTGGTGGTATCTAATACCATTAAATGATCAAGTATCTTGCTGGGTGAAGATGGTCGTTGAAGGGACAGCAACTGAGGTGATGATGGATTTATAAGGGAATAGGATCTTGCGAAGCCAATGTTTATTTGATTGATAATGTTCCCATGAAGGTGGGTAAATATGGGGGTGTCAAGGGTTTTCTCAAGATGATCCACAAGGCTACAACTGTTTTTCTTTTCAATTTACTCCTATCTTATGTGCCTTCAGCTTTCTGTGGTCTCTAGGTTAATTCATATGTATAATTCGCTCCAAATGGATTACTTTATATATTTGTAAAGTTTCTCCCATGGTGTACATGATTGTGGGGGATTTCTGTTCCTTTTAGCACTGCTATTTTGCTTGTGCCTGCATGTACCTGATTTACTACATGTGCATCCCTTTCAGATGAAACTCTGAAATGATGTTTCTTATATTTTTATTTTTCAGAAAGGAAATGATGTTTCTTTTTTCTTTATGTATGTCAATATTATTTCATTTTTCCTTGTATTCATAGGAATTGTTATTATTTAGTTATGTCATGTGTGAGTTAGTAATTTTTGTGACGTGAAGATTGTATTCCTATTTATGATGCAGTTTCTCAGACGGGTCTTTAGTATTGATACCGTTGTTAAACCTCTTCCTCCCACTTTGGCGTACAATGTCTCGCGCAATTTGAGCTTCTTCACTCGCATTTTCACTCAATTCTTGGGTAAGCTATTTCTTTTAGTTTTCTTGCATTATTGTGGATTATGATAAATGATTGCTTTTGATACAAAATCTTTGCTTTTCCAAGAAAAAGAGTAGTCAGGTTTGGAAAGAAGTAAAATTGTCCTCTGGAATGTATATCTTGAGGTGTTTTAGTGCTTTCTCCTCTATGTTGATGTGCAAAAAGGTGCAAGGCAGAAAAAGTGATTTCAACTTAGGTGAAATGATATATAGGAACATTAACTTTGAGTACAGGATTTAAAATAATTATTTAATAGTTGGGTAATATTTTTATTTTTAAAATTTTAAAAAATTATTTGTTTTGGCTGTAAGTCCCCCTTCCTTATAACCAGTATTGATCTCGATAAATATTGAACATTGAGACCTTTCAAACATTGAGACCTGTTGAAATTCTGGCACCATAACATATATGTGCATTCATAAGTTTATTTTAGATGTATAAATTTATTCACATTCGAGTACGTTACAATATCAACCTATCTTGATGCAAATATATTGGTTATCTAAATTATGAGATAATTATTTGATGAGAATGGAATCACAATAAATTGAAAACTTATGAATATCACTAATCAAATTAAACAGCGTATCACGCAAGGTTAATAGCCACTCTGAATACTACTATCATGAAATTTGGAATTTTATCTTGCTTAGAGTTTATAACCAATAACTTAAATTGGTTTGTTATTGTTCTATCGGTATTTTTTTGCTTTATTGGGAATTTTTTGCTTGAAGTTACTATTGTGTTCAAGTGAGATACCACTTTGACTAGGCATGCAGATCTGCAATATAGTTGATTACGAGGTTTAAAATATTAGATCTCATTAGCTATCCCATATTAGGTTCTTAACTTTGGCCGAATTTCATCTGTAAACGACGATAAATTATTGAAAAAGTAACTAAACAACATTCTAAGGAAGGCAAAATTCAGAAGAAATGACTGAAATTCAGCCATTAATATCAGGAGAAAGAACAGTTTGAAGACAAATTTGGCTAGTTAGCTTGGTTTGCGTGATAAGGCGCCATTCAAGTGTCTTTATTTTGGGGTTAGCCGGTTAGGTATAAAACTCCCATAAACTTGTGCTGTAATAGGTGGTGTACCTTCACTTGCCATTGTTCATGGGCACAACTCATAGAATGAAACCCTCCATATTGGCAAAATGCTGTCAATGGCGGGGTTTTACTGATATGCATCCAAACAAAACAAAAAAAAGTATCTCGCTGCCACCAGAAAAATTGCAAAGGGTGTTTGTATCCAATGATGAGCTCCTGTTTTTATCGTAACACTACATGCAAATGCCTCTTTTACCATATTAAGTTTCAGCTTAGAGCATTTACATATTAAGTTTCATACAAAATTGGTGACATTTGAAACTATGGTGGAGAGCGCTATTCCTTAACCCACATATTTTTACTTAATGAGAAAGCGAACCATACAGCATTGGTGTACGATACATGATACAGGGGCATGCGCCATTAGCTTGCGATGGTGGATGGTGGAGATTAACCTTGATTCTAATGATGGACATTCACTTGGGTGGTTAATCTTTTCCATCTTTCAGCCAAAACGGACGGTGGTGCTCCTGTTGTGCAACATATAACATTCAGCAGTGGTGGGTATAATCTTGCTTTTGCCAAAACCTGGAGACATACGGGATCATAGCTGTTAGTAAAGAAGTGCTAGTATCAACAAAAGATTTCCATGTTAATCAGGATGCATGTTTAATTCCTCTCATTAACATTGCTCACTGCACTAGCAAGATTGCACCTTTCAAGAAATGCTTGCAACTAATAATACTGTTGAGATTTGTTACTCGTTACATTACAAATGGAATTTTCTTGGGTAACTTGTAAGACTAGGACCTTGATCCATATATAGTATTTAGTAGTATTTCTCTAGTCATCGATGACATGCCAAAATATGTGCATTTGTTTATTTTTGTGTTTTTTGGAGTTGGGTCGGGGTGTTTTTTGGAGTTGGGTCGGGGTGAGTGGATTGGGAATGACCCGACCCAGACACAACTGATGGGGGTTTTGGTTTGATCAACCTGGAACCGGCCCAGTTCTGGTCTGGTCTAGACTGGGCCTTGCTGGGTCAGGTTGAACCTGACCCAGGCCCAACCTGACCTAGGCCCAACCTGTTTGCAGCCCCTATGGTTGGGGCGGAAGATTCACACCCAAAACATAACATTTAGGATTCAAACCCTGAACATAATGCTTGAGACAAGCTCCATGACACTACTATATGGACAAGTGAATCCAAATATGATACCATCACTTTTGAATTCCATCAAAGCTGAAAAGAATTTTGATCTCTCTCTCTTGGAAAACTTGTTTGCCTTTCACCTCTATGAAAACAATAGATAAGAAGTAATGGTGGAAGAACCAAATTACTGGAACTATTGCTCAATTACAAGGTGCTTGTCAAGTTGCAGTCACAACCTTAGTTTGTCATCGACCCAACTTACCTACCAGAAAAGGGGTGGTTCATTTCAACCTTTGATAATTTTCCATTCTTCTTAAGCCTATTCCGGCTTCAGCTTTTTATGTTTCTTTGTCTATTTCATGGTGTCCTTGTGTTTAATACCATTACCATTTGTTGATGGAGTTATTTTTATACTTCAACCACTGCTATATGTGTTATGTTCTTGTGTGTTTCTTTTGATACAGATCCAAAAGGTATCTCTGATGCGCAAAAATCGCTTGGGTTAGGACAGGAGCAGAAAGTCCGCAATGTGCGTTGAACAGTATCTTTTTTTTTTTTTTTGAACGGTACTATCTTTTTTCTGTTTAATTCATGTAAAAAGAAATTTTTAATGAGTTCGAAGCTTGATCTTTTTTTTTTTGTGTGAGTTTATCTCAATGATTCTCTGTTCTATGATACCCATGCAGCTCGTTCAGTCTTTCTACTCTATCTATATCAGGGAGCACATGTAATTTCCACTGACATTATTTTATGATGAAGTTAGATTACCTGGTCATATTTTGGACCCTCTCATACTTCTCGCTAAATATGTGTGCGAGTTTGCAACTACATGTTTTCTTAAGCTCTACCAAACTCTTCGATGAAAAACAAAAAAACCACATTTTTCTGAAATTTTTTTTTTGGGGTCATTTTCTGAAATTGATAATAAAAGAGATACCAATCAGCAAAAAAAAAAGAGAAATTTATGATTGTACGGTGAACGGTTGTGATGAATCATAGCATAATTCGTTGGCCAGCTTTTTAGTTTTGAGCATCTGTACCGTCTGTGATACTGAATGGACAGCGATAACAATGGTCTTATCTCCTAAATGCATTACGGATCCTAAGTGGCCATCAACACAATCTACAAAACAAAAGCGTTTGCCTTTCGTATAACTGTTTTTTTCCATACAGGACAATTCATGATTACCGTCCTTCAATCGCATTGGACGGTCTGGATATGCCAACAATTTGTTGAGTCTTGTCCGCAAACATTTTATGAGCCAATTTTAGAAAACTCGATGAGATCATTTATCTTTGTTACAAGGAGGTTTGATACTAACAATTAAATCAATGGTAAGAATGGATACAACAATCTGGTAACTGTATGTGGTATGCTACCACCACACCCCAACCCTTTTCTTGATTCATGTCAAGGATTCTCTACATGAATATTACGTCTTTCAATAAGGTTTGAAGGCGCACATGTTTAAAGTTACAGATGCCATTTCTATAAGGCCTATGCCTTACAAAAAAATGTGCAGCCTCAATCAAAATTTTCTCCGAAAATTACTTTCAAGTAAGAAAAATTTCTAAGATGACCGTAAAATTTATTTCTACTACTAATTATAAAATTTCTAGCTAAAAAAATGGTGCATATCTTGTGGATACGTGAATGTTTAGAAATAAAAAATGTAAATAATACGTTGCAATATACATTATTTTTTAGAATTTAAAATCTTATTTTTTTCACAATAAGGTCGAGGTTATAACTTGGAGTTTTCTAACAATTTTTGTTGAGTTATGGGGGAGAGGCTTTAATTATTTATTATTATTTTTAATATATTAATCACATTATTTTAGTCTTTTATTAAAGTCATGCTTGGTATAAAGTACACTTTTTTTTTCTTTTATTTATTTATTAAAAGTAGTAAATAAATAGGGATTTGAACTGATACGTTTTTTTATTTTTAATTTGGTAAGAATAGAGACAAAGGCCTCGTCAAGTTCTACAATACCACCGTTGATGCCCAAGCCATTTTCGAAAAAAACGTGACAAGTCAGTGAAATTGGCTTTCGAAACCATTTTCGAAAAAAAGTGATAAGTCCGTGAGATTGGCTTCAACCCTTTTTGGTGAGAATGGAGTGAAAGACCGATGAGAGTTAGGTATATACTAACCCGAAAGTCACCATTATCAAAAGTAATTCAATGGGATCTCATCATGGGCTTGGTAATAGTATTGCCACACCTCGTAATGAACCGCATTTGTCATGTCATCATTTCTGACATTCCCTAAAAGTTACGAGGTCTTTTCGTCATTTTTGCCAAACCCATGAGCTCCAACATTTTCAGGTCAACCGCGGGACAGGGCTAGAGAGAGAGAGGAGAGACAGGGGTTTATGGTGAGAACCTAGAGAGAGAGATGAGGGAGGGGTTTATGGTGAGAACCTAGAGAGAGAGAGAGAGAGAGACGGGGTTTTATCCAAAGGGAATGACGTTCATGGTGAGAGCTTCACGCAATGGTGCACGCACAGGAGTCTTTACCGTGGGAAGCTCTCCTCTCCCTATTGAGACTCCCTCTCTCCTCTTATCAACCAGAAAAGGGCTTCCCTTCTTCACTCCTCCTGATCTCCTCCTCTCTCTCAACAACCATAACAACTCACACCTCTTGCAAATTAGCCCCCTTCATTTGTAAGTCCCCTAGTTTTAGCATTTTTTCCCTTTTCTTATATCATATGCTTAAATGAGCCGTCTTCATTTGTAAGCCCCTAGTTTCTTGCATTTTTTCCCTTTTTTTATATCATATGCTTAAATGTGTGTGTCCTTTTTTCCTTTTTCTTATATCATATGCTTAAATGTGTGTGCTTGTGTGTTTTTTTTTTTGATGATTCATATGATTAATGGTATTGAATCAATACTATTGATTTGCTAATTTCATTTTTTTTTTCACTGTGGGGTGTCTCGACTCTTAATTGCCTTTATTATTGCGTGAGAATCTCTCGATCTGTTACGGTTCAGTCCCCGATTCGTTATTAATGCAGAATTTTAAATTTACTTGATGATTTCATGAAGTCTTGAAGTCTTCATTTGGGTTTAGCCTGATATGAATATATGTTTCTCTGTGTTTGTGAATGTTTTCCATTCTCATAATGGGTCTTTCCACAGTAATAGGAGTGGTGGAAGTTAGTAGTAGTACTAGAAATAGTTGGAAAATATTGATATTGACAGCAACACAGAAAACGATATGAGTTAAATCTCATTAACTGTATTATTTATTTATGGTTGCGGTTTGCATAAGGCGGCAACCTTCCTTGTACAAGCAAACTTGCGATGTTCAACACCGTCCATTTTGGTTGGATAGTGTAAACTTGAACCTAATCTATATATTATTACTGCAACCTTGCTTCTACAAACAGGGTGCAACCTTGTACAAACTTTTTCCTTTATATGTTTCTCGTATCGTGGTTGTATAGTAGGAAAATTGGTGGTCCTTGTTGGTTGAACCCGTGTTCCAAAACTGGCCCAAGTTAGAGGCAAGTTCGGGTGACAAACTTGGGTTTATTAATGGTCTTAAAAAATTACAATTTTGTACTAAATCACTAATAGACCATCATGAAATTTGTTTCTATATGATTTTTGTGTTTTTATGATTAGTTATGTATTTTTCTTAATATATTCGTTTTTCTTAATCATCATCATCATGGCCTTTCCCAATTAATTGGTGTCGGCTATTCATTATTCTTAATATATACTCTATTTTCTTTTCCCCTTTGTAGGATTTTTCTGCATTGTTTTATGCTATAAATCAGTTCTTTCCACAGTCCATCTTCTATATATTTTTTTTCTGTTTTTTGTAGACATCTAATGTAGTTCATAACTTCTTTAGTTTTTTACTATTAGTTTAATTTGAAAAATAATATATTTTAAATATTTTTGCAATTTTTTAGCCCTTTTTGTGCTCTTACATGATGTGGGCATTGCACTCGTCTGAGTCTCTTTTCTCAGACAGGGCCTAGTCCCTAGCCTAGCCGTGTAATTGAACGTTGGTGTGTACTAATAGGAGTAGTTGTGCCAATAGCAGAAATTGCAGACATATTACTTGTAATGATAGCAGTGATGATAGTAGAAGCACTTCTGCCTAGTCTTCCTTCTTCAACTACTTCACCATAAATTCCTACAAATGCCATGTTGAGATGGTAGAAACAATATAGTTTCGCAATTGTTACGTGATTATTTTTCCTTGATCTAACTCACCTTGATGCAAATGGGTGGGATTTTGTGATGATAGGACATCCACTATTAGTTTCTTTGGGTCTTGTTTCTTTTTGGGCTTGTATTTTTATATCCCGGGAGATCAAGGTATGGATTCCAATGGTGTTGTGAAGCTAATTTATTTTTCTATATCCTCATCTCGTGACCTTAAAAGGCTTTTAGTCCTTGACCACTTCCATGGAATCAGATATGCATCAGATATGTTATCCTCTGTATAAAAGTGAAACCTTTTAAAGAGAAAATTATTCGCTATGAGCTAGATTGCCATTTCATAAGTTTTATGATGGCCATGTTGATGAACTCGCTTACTTCTTGGGTAGATGTGGGATGGGATAGAAAATGTTGATTAAAATGGTTATTTGATATAAAAAAAATTGGAAAGCATGAATCCATCTATATATTGTTCTTTTAGCTAAGCAAGCTGGCTATATATTCAAGAGAGCTAGGGCCAAGGCACGATTTTCACTGCAGGTTCAATATATTGAACACATGAAGTTTCAGGTGGGATATGGCAGCAGAACAAGATTTATAAAGACTTTTTCTGGAAGTCGAAACCACTAGCATATACATTGCCCACACTTTTGTCAGAGTAGTACGGTCGGTTGAAGGTATGACCCACGCAACGTGGACTGTTGTTCAGTATAACATCAAAGACGAAGAGATTGGGGAGTTAGCCTCCCTGCTTCCAAAATTAAAACCATTCTTTTTCTCGCCAAGTACGGTGGTTAGTATGACATGGTGTCCATCACAACAAGGGAGTCTATAGCACCTCTCCCCCCCACCCCCTTCCCCCCAAAAAAAAAAATTGTAGCATCAACTGCATATAATTCCTTGTTTTGACATTATGGACACTCAATATCATCACTATTTCTTTACCTCATTTGGTTTAAGTGTAATTGGCATTTTTTTAACAATCAAACAACACAGCATCTTGGCTGTGGGATAAAATTAAGTCCATGATCATGTCTTGGGTCATGGCGACGAAGAAGTTTTGGGAATTGATACTCTTCTCTTGGCCTTGATAGTTCGTGGCATGCCATATCATGGGGCAGACAAATTTGTTGACCGTCCGCCAAGTTGGATACCTCCTGCTGCTGGAGCAGCCAAGTTCAATTCTGATGGCAGTTCATGAGGAACCTCAACCCTGTTGGGGTTGGCGGTGTTATACAATTATGGGAAGGGATTTTCTAGTTTCTCTGGTCCGCTGACCTCTTGTGATTCCAATGAGGCTGAAGCTCTCACGTTAGTTACTGGCATTTGATGTCTATATCCTAGTTGGAGCCCCATTCTAGCTGAAGCGGATTCTGCCAATGTCATTTCATGGGCAAGTAGAAAAACAAAGTGTCCTTGGCAATTTGCAAACATTTTTATCTTAGTTCTATGTTAAAGCCGCTCTTCCACCACTCATTGAGGAAACCTATGAACTAGCAGATTGTTCGGCAAGAGATGGGGTTTTTGAGGAGTAACGTAGTTGTCACATATATCACTGTTGAAAACTAAGGATCCTAGCCTCAGAGCCCTCTCATCGGCCACTGTTTTGTACATTCTACATACTTGTATAGTTTAACAGTGATCTAACCGTAAATCATTTAAAAGAAATTGATCTACTCGGTTAATAAAAAAAGAGAAAAGGTCGGGTTAAGGAGAGTTGGATGGAGAGAGAAATTTATAAGCATATGATAGCTTGCTAGTGAAATCAGTATGCCTAGTTCTAAAGATGAAAGAGAATTCATGAAATCCAGTACATTTTAACCATTGAAAAGTGTGCAATATCAAGAGATTATTATTGTAGATGCTCCTGTGACTGGAATATATTTTTCTTCAATCTGTTGATGAGATGGGGATCTGAATATTTTTCAGAATTCAAGTATGATATACAAATGGAATTTACTTTGAGCTAGCTATCTAACTAATCCAGAATGTGGTTATTTGACCCTCCTAATATTTTATTTGCAGGAATGACATGAAACAAAATAAAGGAATGAATGACGAAATCTGTCTTTTATGCTGGAATTCTTTGTTTCTGAAGTAGAACTAATATTTTGTCAACTGAATATTAATTCGAATTGAGAAAATTTTGAGTGAAGGTAGGTTTGGATGGTCGTAGTATTCATATTCCTATCAGAAATCTTGATGCTCTGGGACTATAGTATTTGTCACCAAGATATTTTATAATATTTCAAGTATTTTTTGCAGCGCAGGTTGCCCTTCGGAAAAAACAATATCTGATATTGGAGGGGTGCATGAATTGTTGGGTTTGCAAGATTGTAGCTTTATAGGAGTTGCAAGGGATTCAATTGTTTGCCTTCCTCATAGTGAGGGCACAAATAAATTTGGAGCTTCATTTGAGACACCTTCTGGTCGCCTATTGGTAATACACTTACACTCCTTTCCACTCCCTTGAGCTCTATTTGGCTGAACTTTAGTAGCACAGAGACTTATCAAGAAAGAAATAAATTTTTGTATAGAACTCTTTTGTTATTTGTTTTGTATGTCCTTTATCTTATCCAGGTAAAACCCAGAGACTACATGGAGATCATTTCTTCCTTGAAGCCAAACCTATGGACTAGTTTGGCAGATGAAGTGCCTTCTTGGGTTACTGAGAAGAGGAATAGAAGCTCTGTTGATCGAACCATACGTTGGCTCGATGATTGCATCGCATTAGATCCGGTATGTAATATTCATCTTTTTTCTTTAATATGCGGTTATATACATTAATCTTTCTATCAGTGAATTGTTAAACTATCGTTAAAAAAAAGAAGAAGAAGTGGAGAACCTTTTAGACCAATAGGATTATCCTTCTTTTTTATTAGTGTGATTTTAATATTGGTTCTTGTGAATGGATCTTCTCCTTTTCATCTCTCTTTAGGTTCTTGTGAATGGATCTTCTCATTTTCATCTCTCTCTCGGTTCTTGTGAATGGATTTTTTTAAGAAAAGCTGCTTGATAATGACAAATGTTTTCGGAATTTAGGCAGGCGGGAGCTCTATTCTAGGAGCTATTGTTGGCGGATCTAGTATAGATGAACGGAGACGCTCAGCTCATGAAGCTGCTGCTAGAAATGTTGCAGGTTGGTCTAGCTATTTGTGATGTTGCCGATCGCTTGTCTGCCCCTCAAAAAAGGAAAAACATGTCTACCCATGTTAGTTGTTTTTATCTGTTGAGCTTTTATAATAAATATCCTAGTGAGTTGTTTGTTCTTCTCAATAAATTTCGTATTCTTTATGGTTGATGATTTCAAAAGCTCTTGTCCTTTCTAGGATGAAATCTATAGAGTCTATAGACAACGAAAGAATGTTGGTGAAGTGCTTTTGATGGCCTCATGTTTTAGGTTATTGGATTGGAGGTTTTGGACTCGGAGAAAGCTTGGATGAAAGGCCTTCTCTTCTTAATGCAGTTACGGTATGTGCACTTACCTCAAGCCCTTAAATGAAAAAATGATGCTGTTGAACTTCTAGTTTTGAAGCTATAAAGCTACTCATCAATATTACAATATGAAACACAACTAGAAGCATTTAAGTTAGGTAAAGTATACTAATGAAGTATGAAAACCCATTATACATACATTGGGTTGTAACTGTCCGTTGAAACTTGAAATGATTGATGGTGATGGAGAGAGATTGGGATCCATGAGAACAGAGCATGATCCAGTGAGTGGGTCTCGCAGTCTTTTCCCTCATCTTTCATCATTTCAATGGAGGCAATAACCCAATGGACTCATTTTCCATGGGCCATTGGTTTATTGTACACTTTCCTGTAAATTTGTCTCTCCTTTTAGGAGAGAGTTCTGCTTATTGGTGGAGGGAAACAACATTGACTAGTTGTTAAACCTCTCTTTGAGAAACAATAACCTCCTCGGCATCTTGTTTGTGCTTAATAATTATATCCAATGCATTTGCTATGACCTGGAATCTCATGTTTCTCTGATATTTAAGTAGAGTTTCATTTTTGGGTAATGTGATATTTAGTGAGATTTATGGTAAATGCCAACAATGATGTACAACTTTGCTGCAATAATTTGGATGGGATTTGAGTTTTCCCACTTGTCTTATTTCGGCTCCCACTTTTTCCTAGTTATGGCTATGATGTTTTCTCATATACCATAAGTAACTATCAGGCATCCAGGATGGCTTTGCCAATAAATTTCTGAGGCTAATTTGCTTATCTCATTTAGTCGTTCTGGTTTATTTTCAGGATAATCTACCAGTTGAGAAGCCACGCCAGATTTGTGGGCTTGGATTACCCGGTATTATATATTTTGATACTTGTTGAACCTTCAAACCCTCCATTGTATTTTCATACGGATCTTTTAGATTTCTATTATCCTCTTTTATCTCGCAGAAGAAGTTTTACAGGGAGTGGCTGCCGGTGTCGATCTTTTTGACTCAACGTATGCTTTACATGTTCAATCTCTCTCTCTATCTCTCTCTCTCTCTCTCTCTGTGACACACACGCATCATACTTTTCAGTAAATTCATTAAATAAAACCACTCATGATTATTTGCAGTTATATTTATCATCTGACGATGGGGGGCTTTGCTCTCACCTTCGCTCTTGATACTGAAGAAAACTATGCCCACAGTTCTGTTTTAGGCTACGCTGGGGATGACCATACAAAGATAAATCTAAGGGCAACCATTTATAGGTAAGCTTACCTCCATCCACACACATACATGCATATATGAATGCATGCACACATCTATACATGTGGATGTATGTCCGTATATTCATAACATACATGAATTATAACCATCAGTAAGAAAAGGTAAATATGGATGGAACATAACAATCAGGGATAAAGAAAAAGAGCATGGACATGTAAATGCATTGATGCATATATATTTTTAGGTTATTTACAAAATTTTCGTACCACTCTACTTTGAGAATATGGGGAAAATACTCCTTGTTGTGACGTGATTTTGTTGGTGTTATATATGGAATTGGTAAAGGGTTGTGATTTGCATAAGATTGCAACCTTAAACAATCCAAGTAAGGTGCACCACCAAGTGTTTGTCATAAAATGCAATTTTGGTGTAAAGAATTCTTATGATGGCCGGAGAATCCAAATTCATCTCCAATTATAAAATTGTAGACTCCAAAAATAGTTCAAATCAAGTAGATCTAGAAACATATAATAATCTTGAAAATGGACAGTCTAGATAATGTGTTGCAAGATGCACTAGTTTTTTGTTTCAAAAGCTTTTCAGTCATATTCACACATCGCGATGTTGAGATGATCAATTAGAGGGTTTTACAACTTCAAAAAAGCCTTTTACGTTACCCAAACTTTTTCCATTTGTAAAAGCTCTGCTAGCTTTAACCTGGACCTGTTTTGAATTATGGAAAGGTGTTTAGCACCTAGAGCTTTGGTGTCCCATCAGTGAGTGCTTGGAGGTTTTATTGTTTCACTTGTTGAAGCTATTGAAGGCACGACCTAAAATTTCATCTGAACAATCATTCCCTGGTTTGCTGAAATTTTTTAAACTATCGATATTGCAAACCTGACAACAAATGTAGTATATACTTTTTAAGCTCTCTCTCTCTCTCTCTCTCTCTCCCCGTTATCACCCTTCAAACGACCCTGCCATGCTCCAAATACACAGGGGAGAGAGAGAGATTTGTCTCTACTGTTTTCTCATGTAAAATTATCGTGTTAGTTTTACCTTTTTTTGAACCGTTCTGTCGCCTTTGTGATCATTCTGAAACCATTTCTGAGTGTCATTTCACTACTGCATCTTTTTAATACGTCGCAAGTAATAGCCATAATTGAACAAAAATTGTCCCCTTTATTTTCTAAGCTAATTTTTTCCTCCCTCGTGTTTATTTGTTTGTCCATTTTTTTTTGTTTATTTATTTGTTTTTGCTTAATCCTGCATATCAGGAAAGATTTATCTCCGATAATTGACAACTTATTTATTTTTGCTTAATCCTGCATTTCAGGAAAGATTTATCTCCGATAATCGACAACTGTGACTGCTATACTTGCCAGAATCACACAAGAGCTTACATCAATCACTTGCTCAATGTTCATGAGATGCTTGCCCAAATCCTTTTAGAAATGTACTTTTCTCTTCTTTCCTATTCCCTTTCTCCTTCTCTTGTTAATTACTACTTCATGTTTCGTAATGAGTGGCCTCTCTCTCTCTCTCTCTCTCTCTCTCTCTCTCTCTCTCTCTGTGAGATTTGCAGTCATAACACACATCACTACTTGGGATTTTTCCGGATGATAAGGGAAGCAATCAAGAGAGACGAGTTCGAGAGCTTCCAAAAGAGCTTTCTCGAGGGGCGGCGGAGTTACCTTGTTGCACATGCAGGCTGTTGATTTTATTTCTCGCAATTTTGTACCAAAAATATTTTAGTTTTCCTTTACACACATTCGCGACAGAGAAGTTGCTAAAATCATGGAAACAACATGGAGAAATTTTTTGTAATTTGACATTGTTTCACGAACAGATTCAAGATCGTTACTCGGTTTCATTGAGACCAACATTCTGAGAACACCCTTTAGCAGAAATGTTGACTCTCACATATGGACATGCATATATTTTGGCAAATTTGGTCAGGAAGAGAGAGAGAAGTGTAGGGATGAGGCGTTCCTCTTATTCTCTTTAAGTCATAACCTCAGTAATCCTCTTATTCTTTTCAAATTAGAAACTCAAAACCAACTGCAACAATTTGTCAAATTTTTCATTTGGAGGCCGATTATCTCCTCGAAATGCTATTATTTTCTTCATTTACGAAAAAAGTAAAAGTAAAAGTTTTCGAGTCCATAGAATTACAGAGTGATTATCATTAACAGCGGAATATTGGATTTTACACCCAGCAAATGCTATTATTTTCTTAGCTTACACAAAATTTCATGGTCAAGATTCAGTACCATATAGGCAAAGTTCCAAAGGCTCTAATTCTCACAAGCAGAGGAATATGTTTGGAACAAGTAGGATAAGATGTTCTTATAGTCTCCTAATTTTGCTCCAGTGTTGGGATCAACTAGAAAAGGTATCTGCCACAAGGAAAAGAGAAAGAAAAAAAAAATCAAAATTTTGCACTATCTTAACATAATAAATAATGGAAAAATGGAGGAAATCCAACGTAGAAAAATGGTCCTAATGTCAATGCCAAAACTTAAGTTCTTCGTTAAATATCCTTTGTAGTTTTGGATCCTATATTCCTTTCTTCTGCAATGACACTGTTACCTTTCATAAACTTCATAAACAAAGGTCACGAATACCCAAAGCCGTCGCATGTAATTTCAGACAGTTGGACCACCCACACAAAGTCCCAAGGAAAATTTTCCCAAAACTTTTTGAGTGCAGTGAGTAGCACACCTCCAACCGGATTTCACATTTAACAGCTACAATTATTGTGACATTTCTGTATTGAAGGAAAAAACGTCCTACTGTACACTTTCTCATATTTTTAAGCCTTAAAAATTTCTGGATAGAGAAATATCAAATTCATGTGATGGATATTGGGAGGTGAAAATCACAAAGATGTCTTCAGCTTCATCAAAGGACCAAATTAGCCCAAGGCATCGATGCATCCTTTGCTGCCTTTATTAGCATTTCACTTGATTTTCGATAACATGTGCCTGGGGTGTATAGAAAAACTATGAAATAATAAAATTATTGTAAAACATTTCATCATCATTCTCTCCTTAGTTGGGATAAAGCTCTGATGATGCTTCGTCTCATGCATCCACAAATTCAAGGGTATTGTGTTCATGTTAGTGCTATTCAAGTAATATGCTAAGGTACTGGATGTTCTATTTTGTACGTCTCAAGTACTCATGCCCAGCATCCACAATCCAATGCTTAATTGAGTTGATAAACTAATTCCACCAAAAAATTGGGTGACTTAAGATGTGATAACAGCTTATCACCCACCATCTTTGCATAAACATGGACGGTGGAGATTAGGCTTGACTACTCTATTCCATACTCATACAACGTTTGGAATATGTTCCCTCCTAGTAAAAACAAATGTACTAGAACTCACCTGTTTCGAACCTGAGACCTGAAATAAAAATTCGGATTTTGGAGAGCCTTCCCCAACATTGTGGAGGATGTAAGGGAGCTCCATTTCACATAAGGCTTCCCGAACGATCCTGGCATACTGCAAGAGCAAGCAGAAGAATTGAGAGAGAGAGAGAGAGAGAGAGAGAGAGAGAGAGAGATCTTGGCATACTGCAAGAGCAAGCAGAAGAATTGAGAGAGAGAGAGAGAGCGATCCTGGCATACTGCAAGAGCAAGCAGAAGAATTGAGAGAGAGAGAGAGAGAGAGACTAATGACTCCAGCTCACAGAGTTGTTAACATAAGAAATGCAAAGAGCAATATGACCATCACTCGGAAATTTGAACATTTAAACTTTAAAAATTAAAGGGAGGGAAGAAAGTCATGAAAATTTTAAAAGAGACTGGTTTTTTCCATCATTAGACTTTTAACAGAGTGACTATGAGGTCACAATAATAGCGTCATATAATAATGCATTGAGGATGATTCAACTAGGCCTGGAAATTTCCTATCATTAGATAATGAAAAACCTGAGCAAAACTGAGCAGGTACAGAAATTTACTGCCCTTGTGTCTAAATCTTGGAGAACCAAACTCATGACTAAATGACCCAAAATTTCTGAAGTGGAGAAGCAACACAATATTTCCATACAGCTTACCAGGTTGTTTTCATAAGAGAACAGTTCCAGCATTCTAGAAGCTGGTTCTGGTTTAGCTTTTTCCCATATTGTCATCCCTCTCCCTGCTCGAAGAATTGTTGGCATCCACCCTGTGAATAATGTGCTAAACCAACAAAAATAAATGATTATATAGCAGAAAGTCATTTCTTTGAATTGATACATGGTAACAACATTTGATATATAATTGCCATACTTATATTAAACCATGGTTCAGAATGCGAAAGCAAAGTCCAATGGAATATGGAAAAGGAAACCGTGGTCCATTGGGGTCATGAACATCCAATGAAATGATAGAGAAGGAAAGAACAAGGGAAACACCATTGCAGGTACCCTGTTCAGCTAGGTGCTTTCTGGACCATAATCCATCATTTACTCATGAGCAAGGCCCCGACGGACTATGTTTTCCATAAATATGGGACAAAAGAACCATAAAAGATTCCAATAACGTGTTGTTTGACTATCCTAGATGTTCATGAATCATGATGCACCCAACATTGCATCTCAAGAATAAGTATGCGTAATTAGCCTGAAATGGAGATTAACAATTCTGCTCGTAGACACAGACCCAGCCATGGCTTAACCCAACCTTTCAATTTTTTCCCTGGAAATTCAATTTTCTAAGCTTAAGGTCCACATATCACCAATAAATTAGATTTATCAATCTCAGCTGATGGAATGACAAAGGAATAAAATATTATTTTGAGGCTCATATAACTATGTATATCTTAAGAGCTCCCTTCATTGAAAGAGGATACAAAGACTAGAGCAAATTTTCAAGCCGAAAAACAAGGCAAAATGGACACCTTCAACAAGCCACTTACTAAAAACCAAGCTAAGTGAATAAGTTACAATCTTTTTACATAACAATTACAACCATTTCTAACCTTGTATAACCACTGTAAATAAACTCAAATATCAACCCCTTATGGGGCAATTACATATAAAGAAATACTAGCTTATGAATTACACTTTCATAGCACAAATTATATAAACTATGTCCCAAAGTTTAAATACATCATGCAACTAATCTAAACAAAATTCTAAAGAATAAAATCAACTAAACGTAGAATTAGAATGCCAAATTAAAATAGGGAAGCCATGTTTTGAATCCCTTGTGCCGGGGCCACACAATTGGGCCCTATAAGGACTTAATTTTGTCCCTTCGAATTGTACAAAAGTGGTTCAATCTCACAAGAGTGTCTAATCCAAATGGGAAGAAATTACACAGCTTAATATCACTTCTTAAGATCTCAACATACTGGCATTATCATCCAAAACAGAATGCAAAAGGTTTGAATCGAATCGGATAAAGAACAAGAGAGTTATGGCCAAACTACACACAGTGGTCCTTCGGACCACCAAAACAGTCATGTTTGAAAAGATTATGAACCCCCATAGGTAAAAACGTGATGAAAAAGTTTTGAAAATAGAGCGACACTCTGACACTAAATTATTTGATGGATTTGAAGCAAAGTAATTAATGGATACTATGCATGATCATGGATTCTCATGCATATAGGCTATAACTCATGAAGGACCACACTATGAATAAGCATGATGAAAAAGATGATCAAATGGGGATTCTAAGATCAATGAAGCTTTTCTAAATTCAGAACTCTAGCAACTATAGATGCCAAGGATATAATCTTATGAGAAAAGAAAAATTCAATGGAGTTTACCTTGATAAATGCACACTATGGACTTAAGCATAAGAACGGAGGACCACCATCAAGATCACCATTAATGGAGCTCTAAAAGCTCTCTCTCTTCAATTTTCTCTCACAAAACCTTAGAAGAAAGAGGGGAGCAACAATTTTCCAAAATGGTTCAAGAGTTAAGATAGTTAGGGTTTGAGATCTCATGATGTGCTTTAATAACATGGGTGTAACTTTGGATTCAATCAACACCCTTGATGCACTAATCCAAAGGCACATGAGAGGCTAATGTACCTAGCCACCCATCCCCATCCAACCACTAGAATGAAGGGATGGGATTTCACACCATTATCACTCACCCTAACTCTAAGTTATGCCACTTTACCATTTGGTCCTTGGCCTATGTTTTTGTTCCAATTGTATCCAATATGACCTTACAAAAATACCCTTAGTTTTTTTAATAATGTATTAGAGTAGATAACCACAAAGGCTAAAGGGTAAAGAACTAATTGGCAAAGCTCACACATGTGGAGATATTCTTCTTTATCAAAGCCAATCACTTTGTAGATCTAAAATTTCAAACCAATCAATTTAAAGATATTGTCCCCTTCACACATGTGTGTGAAGATATTTTTCAACTCAAATTTGAAAATGTATTTTCTCTTTAATATCAAATAAATAATTTAATTAAACTTCAGACATGCATGCATGACCCATTTAATTTATAACATTATATAACAAAATATAACAAGACACCATAAACAGAACCCCTTATAAAACAAGCAACAAATGCCAATCTAGTCCTCCGCTTAGGGATCAGTGCCCAGCTGGGCGGTGATCTTAGAGTGAGGTGTGGGGTGTCATGTGGCAGCCCTATGGCCACTAGGATACCACATGGCACTACCAGGTCAGGACTAAAGTGGAATTTAAGCTAAACAATATGAAAACCCTTTTTTTTTTTTTAGCAAATAAAATTCCGAAAAATTCTCTAAAATTCACAATAAATATTTAAACTATTTTTGAGCAATTAGTAGGTTTTTATCATCATTATAAAATCGGACAAAAGATATAGTGAGATCTCAGGCTAATAACTATAGGTATCGGAGTACTCCATTGGCCTAGTCCCAAATGATGTTCCGTCGAGTCTCAGATCGACCCAATAGACCTATGTTCCACAGTCTAAAGCAGGGACACATAATTGGCCATATCAAAGCCGTTGAGCTAGAACTTCCGATCATTCGGCACATGTGCACTGGCTCTTCCAAACTCGGATAATACATTGGAAGAGTAGCTTCCCGTACAAAATGAAAATGCACATGCCATGTAATAGTCTCATGTCAGGATACGGACTTATGTCCCATAAGTCTTGACCATTCCATACATGGCGAATACTCAATAAGTAATCGGGTTCTATTTTTCTCATTTGGATTCTCCAAGCCCTGACCGTTTGCAGCTAAACATGAAGCTAACCTATAAATCCTGACTAGGAGGTGACCCTCACACCTCCTTGAAAAATTGCTTTCTCAACATGTAAATTCTCGATTCCTCATGCGTACTCGGGGTAAAAGAATATGAGCTCCATTTCGCAAGACGCCAAGATTTCAATATCTCAATCGCTCCCACTGAATGAGAGACTACTGGAATTTAGGCCTTGATAGGCCATATTTTCAACATTCATATGCAAACCAGTGTCATTTAAACAACTTGGTACAACTTGATGCATACTTGATAAGTGAGACACACACAAACAGATCATGGTGACCATGCATGATCAGGATGATGGAACAGGGCAGAATTGTGAATGAACAATGACACTTTGACATTGTTTTGAGGCATGATATGTAAGTGCTATCACAAGATAGAATATGCCCCTGATTGAGTACTTAACACTTACAATTCTGTTCAGGGAACTACCATTCTGATCAGGGAACATAATGACAACAAAAAATTCTCCAACTTTCTTGCAAATAACAATGAAACACACTGAGAACACCAGATTTTGCCTTAATTTGTAAGAGAGAGAGAGAGAGAGAGAGAGAGAGAGAGAGAGAGAGTAGTAGTTAGTTTAGTAGTAGTAGTCGTCTCACTACCACCTAGTAGTTAGTTAGTTAGTTTACGTAGTCGGTCCGTCCGTACCTAAGTTAAGTAAGTACGTACGTAGTAGTACGTAACCGTAACCCTT